TGTAGTCACCCAAATAGAGTGGGACACGACACTACTAGGTGATAAGCAATGAAGTTTTGTTGACCCATACAACACTGAAAGGCTTAGCAATTGGCTCCGTCTTAAGTCCAAGATGAGCGACACCTTGAGTAGAGATCATATTCCTTTTGCTTCCACTGTCAATAACCAACTTGCATGACTTGTTACCACACTTCACAAAGGTGTGAAAGATGTTGTTTTGTTTCTAAGGGTCATCTGGTGTTGGGACAGTTAGGAGACGTCGCATCACTCCAAGATGACTTGATAGCACTTTGTCACAATTAATCTCTTTGTCCACATCAGAAGGAATATCAACAGGGTCAACGACTATATCTAGCACTCTCTCGAGTAGTGCATCATCTTGAGATTCGATAAGCAACGCACGTTGCAGGCACTTTGAAGCAATGTGTCCTTTTGAGTGACACTTGAAACACTCTATCGATGAGCTACCCGTGCGAACGTTTAAGGCTGATGACTCTCTCAGTCTTGAAGCACTTGGCCCCGAAAGTTGTTGACTTACCTATTGATTGGCCGAGGTAGCAGAGCTACGAGCGGGATGAGACTCTAATCCTAAGAAGCTGGGATGCCTGAAGGAGGGATATTTAGGCAGAGTCAATCTCGATAGCCTTATGATATGCTTCCTCTAAACTATAGGGGCAGTTTACTTTGAGCTCCCTCGGTATGTCATCCCTAAGGCCACCGATGAATCTCTCGATAATGACAAAACTTGACTCATTTAAGTCATTGGGGATCAGAAGGTCATCGTATCAAGAGATGTAGTCAGCTACTGACAAGGTTCCCTACTTGAGGTTATTCAATTGGTTGAAGAGAGTACTCAAGTGGCTGACTGGCACGTGCTTTTCCTTAAGCTTCAGCTTTATCTCCTCCCACGTTGTGACGGGAGGTTGCCCTAAGCGTTTGAGGTTTGCTTGGACATGCTGCCAATACTTTTATGCAGATTTGATGAGCTTGATCTTGGTAAAGTGAACACGCTATATGTCACTCATATCGTACCAGTCGAAGTATTCGTCCATGGTGGCTAACCAATCGAGGAAGACATTCGCATCTAATCGACCATTAAAGTCAAGTGCCTCAACCTTAACCCTCTTCATCGCATCATCATTGTAGTCTTGTCAAGGGGTGTCTTAGTATCACCTAGGTGGCGACGGGTCTTGTCCATATCTGGGACAAGCTGTGTACCTTCCGTAGGTACGTCGATTCCCAAGGTGGGATTCGTAATGATTCTTTATACCTTGCTTATTCCATGGGTCGTCCTCTTTCTCGAGGGGTTGGGGAAAGGCCTCAACATGCGGCAGTCTAACCTATGGGTTACGTGGACTTATAGAAAGCTGGAAGCCTTTAGTGAGAGATGGTCCAACATTGTCAAGCTTGGTGTGCACTTGATTGGTCCTCGAGATATTTCCAAAAATTCCTTCTACACCGTTACTAAAGACCTGCCTATTAGTTCTCAGGAGAGAATCCCTAATCTCCTACTGGGAGGTCCTAAGCTCTTGATTAGCTATCTTGAGCTCCTGAGTAGTGGCTCTAAGCTCTTCACACTGGGAGTTATATTCTTGCTTAATCTTGGACAAAGATTCCTTAAGGCATTTGGTGAGTTCATTCAGTTTTAGTTCAAAGGTCTGAAGTCTCTGGTCCATTTAGGATTAGAGGGGGCTAACACGGGGTTCTAAGGATTGAAGTGCTTGATCTAAGGTGTCTTGTCTATTTTCAATATCAAGAATAGTCATGCAACAGATAGGCGAAAGCTAACAACAAATAATGAAGCAAGTAAAGAAGCTACTAATAAAATGAAAATAAATTCTCTTTTTTTTTTCCCTCTCTTTTTTTTCTAAGCTATAAAATACTAAACACGAATAAACAACAAAAATATATACATAGCAAAAGTAAAATAACACAGTAGGAGAAACAACAATAGTATCCAGCAATAACAATGACCTAAAGCAATAAAAAGTAACCTCCAGTACATTAATGGTTACAGTAATTAATTGAGGGTCAATTAGGCCTTACCGTTGTGGCTTTACAACACCAAAAGGTACCCCAATGCTCCTGGGTGACTGCTCTTGGCGTTGGGAAGGTCGGTGGTGGAAGAAACGGTGTGAAACAGGGTCTAAACGGGCAAAAAAGGCGATCTCGTTGAGCTAGTGACGGGGCGGTGCACAGGACACTGGTTGGCCGTGACACTGGTTGCCCATGACCTTTTTGGGTCTAGCCATGTTCCTCCCTGCGAACCTGATGGAGGTGGTTTCACGCCAATCAGAGGTCGGACGAGAGAGTTATGAGCCTTCAAAGTGACAGTGACGGTGACGGTGATCTCGCGCAGTGGACTATTCTGGCAGTACTTCACCGTGAAACTGAGTAGTATGGACGGGTATTGGCCAATGAGGATGATGACGGGGGTGGCATGTTGAGAGGAAGCTTGGGAGTGAATGGACAAAGGCGATTGTGCAGCAAAAACTGGAGAGTGATGACACTATGCATAACTTTGAACTTAAGGGCATGTTTGGATGGTTTGGATTGATAGAAATTGAACACAGGGAAGCACAACCTTGGCTCTAATGCCAAAATTGATGTAAAATAGAAAGGAGAAAGGGGAAGAGAAGGGAGATCAGAGGAGAATATTAGAGAGAAAGGGAGAGCAGAGACGAGAACGAGAGTGGAAAAAAACTATCTGATACATTCAATAATGCCAAGTCTGTTTACATGATAGAAACTTAGGGTACTTATAACCTAATTTTAAATAAAATAATTAAAATACAAAATCAATAAGTGGGTTAGTGGGTAGTTAACAAAATAAAATAACTAACAAAATAAAATTAATTAATTAAATCTGCATCACTTAGTTTTCTAGATTTTGGTTTTCTTAATGTAGGTTTATTAAGTTATTATAATTTGTGAGGACTCTTTATTATCTGCAATTATCCTTTTGTTTTTGGTGAAAAAAAAAGAAAGTAAAAATAAGATGATCTATAAGAATTGATGATTTTTTTTTTGTGGGTTGAAATTATACAATAATAAACGTGGTAGATCTGGTTTCCTATTTCACATATAGGAAAGTTTAGATTTTTTAACCAAATTTTCCATTAATAAATAATGCACTTAATGTAACTGATGTAAAATGTTATAGCCTACATAAGCTGAGGTGAGCAACATTGGCTTTAACGTTTTTTTTTTTTTTGTTTTTGACCGGAACATTGGCTTTAACGTTGAAGCAAGCATTTTGCGATTTGAAAGCATGACAACATCTTTCAACAATAGGCCAGCTGTATGGCCGAGAAAACACAATAGGCCAGCTGGCAGAAGGAGGGGGCAAAAATGAAAAAAATAAATTGGATTCATACGTGGACCAGGAAAAGGGTCGGGGTGCATTCATATTGGGGTATTGTATTAACTCTGGTTTTAATTATAAAATATCGTTTATAAATTACAAATAAGATTTTACAAATAGGATTAGAGGTAATATCTATTAATATATATAAATAGTTATTTAGATTGGAAGTTTTTGACCAGCATATTTAGATTAGAAGTTGTCTCATTAATCTAAACAATTTTAATATATGTAATTAATAAAAATAATTTAGAAATTATAAATTTGAGAAGAAAATATATTAAAATCTTATATTTAATGTTATATCCAATTAATTGTTACAAGGGAGTACCTTCTACACGTATGTCCATTTTTGTCAATAAGAAAAATAATTGATAATTTTGGAATCATCCCTTTGTCCCAAATTTGAAAGCAAACAGAAAGCTCCAATACGATCCATCTACACTTAACTAAATAACCAACCAGCTGGCTAAAAAAAATAAGTAAATAAATAAATAACGAACCAAACTTGTGCATACAGATGGGCTGATGGCCGATGGAGTGCTTGGGTTGGTAGTTATAATTGAATCGATAATATTTTTTACATTTATAATTTGCATCATTTGAGATCAGCATTTTCAAATATAATTAAAAAAGAAAAACAAAAGAAAATCTGGACTTTCCTTATTTCATTTACAGTTTACAAAAGGGATGCACGTTATTTACGTGTCTGATCTCTACCGTCACTAAAAAGGAATCCGTTCCAAATTGACGTGATAATATCTCTCTCAAAACACACTCATAATTAGATAAAAAAGTTATAGGAAAAATTAATATGCAATTTCATATAATTTCTCTTTATTTTTAATTATATGCTTATAGTTTTTTCCCTGGGTTCCTATAGTGTCTGCTATTTATAGATATTGATCCATACATTCATAATATATTAATTTGTAAAAGAAATATTACATCAATAGTAGATCAGCATATATATCTCATTTAATTTTGCAACATGCATCTAAATAAAATCATAGCTAATCAGATTACAAATTAATTTATTTTTATGTTGCCAATAAATAAATGATATCTCATACCAGCCCAAGTTAAAAGATCATGAATATATGATATTAATATCTATAAACGATGAAAGTGTAAGGACCAAATTAAAAAGAGAATACAGGGAACTCATTAAAAATCGGGTAAAATTATGAGGATTTGTAAATTGATTTTTTCAAAATTATATATTTGAGGAGAGATCAAGAATAAAAAATAATTGCTATAGTGGCATATAATTATATCTCTTCATATCCTCTTGTCTTTTTCCAAATAAATGAACGTCTGATGGGAAGGATCGAAGTTGATCGATAACACACCTAATGAATGATATTCTTTGAACAATCATAATTTGATTGGATTTCGTTCATATACTATTTCTTGTTCATTCCCCTCTGTACATACAAAATTGAACCGACACGTCAATTTGAGTTTGAAGCATTTACACACGTAAAAATCAAAACCTGATATGATTGGAACTGAGAATATCCTGTTTCTGATACTCCTCACCTTCCATTTTTGCGCCTATAAATTAATGTATCACCCATCACTAGCTTCATTCTTTCCTTGATTGTTTCAATCCCACAAATCTGAGAACACCAAAATGAAGTCCAAGGGATCCTTCTTCTTCATGAATATCAGCCTTGTGCTGCTTCTGCAGAATCTCTCAGTTCTCTGTGTTTCACAGGACTTCGATTTCTTCTACTTTGTCCAACAGGTTTGTTCACAAAGTCCTATGCCTTCGCTTCGCTCGTTTTGAAATAACCATGAAACACTATATATACATACATATATATATCTGAAACTGAAATTGTTTGCATCTGATTTTGAAGTGGCCAGGATCATATTGTGACACCCAGAAGAGTTGTTGCTACCCGACAACTGGAAAGCCTGAAGCAGATTTTGGCATCCATGGACTGTGGCCTAATTATAATGATGGCTCCTATCCATCTAACTGTGATTCTTCTAACTCCTTTAAGCAATCTGAGGTATGACCTTTTTCTTTCGGCGACATAGGGTCTTTTCATTCGTTCATGCTCTGCCAAATCTGATACTCTCGGCAAAATAATAGTTTTAGATGATCTAAGTCGTGTCTGAGAACACATTTATGCTTAAGGACTCTATTCCCTTACACGAATGCCTCCCAGAATCAAACAGACCCTTACTGAAATATCTCAGGGAAAGGGAACTACAAGATGCAGGACACTGACATGATTTTGGATATGGCTACAGATATCAGACTTGACAAACAGTTTGCAGAAGGACTGGCCAACACTGGCATGCCCAAGTGGGAATGGGATACAATTCTGGAGCCATGAATGGGAGAAACATGGAACTTGCTCTGAGTCAGTTCTTCAGCAACATGATTACTTTGAAGCTGCTCTCACTCTCAAACAGAAATCCAATCTCCTTCAAGCTCTTAATACTGCTGGTGCATCTCTGAACTTTTTTAATGTTAGTTGTCTTTAGATTTTCTTCATCCATAATTTGCATACCTTAAGAAAGAGAGAGGGATAGAGAGACAAAAACATAACTGTCTGTGTGTGGGTCCCACATGTCATAATTGGGTATGGGGCTCAATATATCTTTTTCTATCTAATTTGGATCTCTTTCTGAACGGATCATCTACATTTTCATTTTGTGAATTTAGAGGCCGAATGATATATAGATTGATGATTAAGGCCATGGGATTTTGAAATAGTGAATAGTTTTGTTTGTCTGAGGCTTATATGGGTTGATGTGTGAATATATAGGAATAGAAGCAAATGGAGGATCCTACAGCCTGAGCAGCATAAAAGGGGTTATAAAGGAAGCAACTGGCTATACTCCATTTATAGAGTGTAATGATGATTCTTCTGGCAACAGTCAACTCTACCAAGTATATTTGTGTGTTGATACTTCTGGTTCCAACTTTATTGAATGTCCAGTGTTTCCTAATGGCAAGTGTGGTTCACAGATTCAATTCCCATCTTTCTGATATGATAATACATAGACTTTAGAGTCTTGCTGTGATGTTGATTTTTGCTTTTGTATTGATTCCTTTTCCATTAAATGACAGTGATAACTATTTCATATGCTTGTTGTAATTAGTGTTGGGTAACTATTTAAGTATATTAAAAAATGGAGCTTGAATGTGCAACTTTAATCCCAAAAGTGGGGAAAAAGCAACCTAAAAGTCAACTTTTTTAAAACAGTTTTGATGCTGAGCGTCACATCTAGAGCATGTCTTCTGATTGATGTATGGAAACGAAAATTGTTTTTCCCAATAAAACTATTTGGATGATTTAAATTTCTTAGTAATTTTTATAGATTTTCAAAATTTTTAAATTTAAAAGTGAAACAAAACACAACGATATGTAATTTAAAACTATCACATTATTATAAAACACATTTTTTTTTGTAACACCTAGCTCTAAAGATACAGGTAATTACTCAATAAAGAATCACTTTTCAAGTTGTAAGGTATCCAAAATTTTGAACTTTTAATAACTTTTACTTTAATCAATTTAGAATAGGGGTGAGCATTTCAGTTCAGTTTCAGAAAAAACTGCAAAAACCAAATTGAATAAATTTTTAAAGCCGAATCAAAACTGATCAATGGAAATTAATGGAACCAAATTAACTAAAATATTTTGGTTCAGTTGTTAGCCTTTGATGGGTTTTAGACTTTCTTTCTTTGTTTTATTTTTATTTTTATTTTTTTACTTTGTAATCCAGTCAGATTTTCTCAATTCTCAACAAGCAAAACTGAATGCATATAGCATGAGGACCCATACTTTTTAAAGAAAATGACATGTTGGGCTTGAACTTGGGAAGAGACAACAAGGCACATAACATGAGGCCCAATTTTGTTTTTTACAATTTGGTTTTTCGGTTAAAACCCAAATTTTTCTATATTAATTGCATCGAAAATCAAAAACCAATATTTCTATATATAAGAACCAAATCAAAGACAAAAAAATTGAATTAACATAATCGGATTTTTGGTTTCGGTTTTACAGTGAGACCATGCTATTTAAGAAAAGGTAAAGATGCAAAAATACCTACCAACTGTCATATACTTTTCAAATATGCAAAAGTATACGTGAAAGTTCGTTGTTGATCCAGATTAAGACAGTTAATCTAGTCTATCCAAGTTACTGAAAAAATTGGAAAGAAAATTAAAAAAAAAAAACGAAAACTCAAAAGCTTCAAATCAAGACAACCAGTTAAAGATGGGCCAGCAACTTCCTTTACTCTTTAACACACCCTCCCGATCTCACCGCCTTTAACGAAGATAATATCAACGTCCTCCTCCTCACGGGTTGGATCCAACATTTCAATAAAAGCTAAAGCCCCTAGCCGAAGGACACTGCAAAAGATTAAAGGAAGAAGAACCTTGTGTCAAGCAAACCCCATCCTCCTCTCACCGTCATCATCCTTTGGCTTAGGGCTTACGCTTTCTTTGAAATGTTGGATCCAATCGGGGAAGAGGAGGACGATGACATCGTCCTTGTTATTGAAGGCATGGCAGAGAGAGGAAGCTATTGGCTCATCTTCAAGTACTGTCATCTTCGTTTGAAGCTTCTAGTTTTTTATTTTTCTTTTTAAGTTTTTTAAATGACTTGGAGAGATTTGTGTAAATCAACAAGTCACCTGATTTTAAGCAACACAGTAAGATGGATCATCACACTTTCATGCGTACTTCTACGCATGCGAAAGACATATGGTGTTTGATGCATTTTAAGTAAAAATTTATGGATATTTTTACATCATTATCTTTTTTATTTTTTAATGCGTCTCACATAAAAGCAACATATGTTCTGTTATTTGTATAGTTGTGTCGTCTTTCTCTAATTTTACACTTTTAAGTGTACTTTTACACCTCCAAAAGGTATATGGTATTTTGGAGCACTTTGGATAAAAAGTTATGAGTATTTATTGTATCTTTAATTTACCCAAAGACTGAGTAGGTTTGAGAGTCAATTATGTATTGGAAATGTGTTAGGCACCTTTCAATACTCGGTCATGTGTCTCAGCCCTCACATAATAATGAATTTCATGTAGGCAAAAAAAATTATAACAGGATGTACATACACCTCTTGATGTTTGTACACTTGTAGACTAAACAAGAAAAACAGCAATGAAACAAAAGAAACGAAAATGAAAAACACAAAGAAGCTGCGAATGCATGTTGAGAAAGCAACCTAGTTTTACTGGATACTTAGCCAAATAAAAAATTGAAGACTACAGGAAAGAAGCCCATCAAAGCTTTGCAAAGTAGAATGGATTAATAACTAGCTTTTGAAAATATAATGCAACTATGTTCATAATGAAATACTTCCATCCATTAAAATAGTTACTTCTGGTGGTAAAAGGAACACAAGTAATAAGAGAGTCCTACAAATACAATCACAACTAAATAGAAAGGACACAACCCAAACTAACATAGTTAGAAGAAGCACGCTAGTGATAAATAATATTTAACTGTTCTTGATTTCAACTTTTTGAACCACAGATTCCAATCGAAAAGATGCTAATATCTAGGCAGAGTAGGTCTGATTGCTGGGAGGACCATGGACAAAAGGTTTTGGCCATTGACATATTTTATGGAACATTTATATAGCCCTGAAACTGATTTACAATGTGTGATGGAATGGGGACAGAAAATTTAGCCACCTCCAAAAGTACGCCAAAAAAAAAAAAAGGCAAATTAGCAAGAAAATTTAGTGATGAAATTTCTCTTATTAATCAATTCAGCGAATTCTATTGCCAGTAAATCAGTGAAAGGTTTTTTGTGATGAAATTTACAAATTTTGTCACTAAATTCTGTTACTAACTCACTATTTTTTGTATTAGGTTGACAATGATAATAAATCTTAGGATCAGACCCTGATGCTTGTAAGGAGAACAAAGAGCAGTGTTCAATAACCGATTAGAAATCCTTTCGCGTAGAAAACTCAAAAGAATATTCTTGTATAGGACAACCAAAAGGACAGCGTAGGGCCATCAAGATGATGATCCTTGGCTGTTTGTAACTAGAATTGCCTTGGGGAAAATAATTAAAATTCCAAATAAAGAGAAAAAATTGTAAGGAAGGTTAATCCTCCAAAGGAATTTAAGGCTGTTGAATCTAAGAAATGTTAGGAATATATATAGCTTCGAAGGACGGAGAATCCATCTTTTTGACATGGTAAGAGCCTTGAGAGTTGCCTGTCCAGATAAGCTGGACTTGTTGATTCCTAATGGAAATAGCAGAGTTGATAATTTCTTTGGCTATGGAAGATTAATAAATAGCTTGGATGATCTTTTTATTGCAACGGTGAGAAATGAAATGACGAGGTTAATGCATTAAAAGATCAGCTACCTTTCAAGAGAATGAGCTGATGTGGGTGTATTAGTGCAAGAAGGCTAACATTTAGGTTGATTGACTGGAATATTAGTGCCATTGCTAGCCTATTCTTTGAGTTTATCCCAATTATGCTAGCACATTCAAAGACGTCCTTCTAAAGGCAGGATGATTTATAAGGCTTTTTAATTTGAGAGCGAGAATAAATATCTAAGTATTTAAATGGCATTGTAAAATATTACCTTGGGTTTTTAATACTAACTCCGCTTCCTAATATAAGAGTTAGTTTAACATTCAATTTGGTTATAAATATAAAACTCCAATCCACTTTGTCTCATATTTATCTATTTTTTTCAAGGTAGTCATTGTAGTAGTTGCACATATTAAAGGTTTCATCAAATAGTAGTTCTAGTTAATACACATGATTAGTAATGGTATTTTAGGAAAGATATCACATGTTTATTACAAATAACTAATTTAACTAATTTTCTTAATCTACTCAAATTAGTCAACTAACTCTTATATTAAGAACTAGTGAGAATATACGACCTAGTTAACTAATTTGAGAAAATTAAAAAAGTTAAAAAAATTACTTAATTATAGCATACGTTACATAATTTCTCTAAGATATTTATGTATATCATTAATTATATATCCATTTATAAGCTAGACAGCCAGTTAAATATTAGTTTGAAAAAACTGATAAATATAATATTTTAAAATAATTTAAATTAGTCAATTAGGTCTTATATTAAGAACATGAGTTAATATAATAGGAAACTGTCAGGAGCATGCCCATGATCAACGCATCTGTTGGGACTTAAAAGTGAAAGCTGTTTTATTTAAATAATCAAAATGCAATTAGCAATTATCTGTTGGAATTATCTGTCTGTTTATAGCTTAAGAACACGATATAGTATATCTTTCAAAAATGTAGTGTTTTATATGATTTTTAGTGATGATGATGGTATGAAAGTAGAAAATAAAATTACCAGATGAAACTGCGCGTACGACGTAATCTTCACTCTCATGGAATTGATTATTAATTATTAATGAATAGTAATTTTTTTGACCAGGGATTGATGAATAGTAATTCAATTATGAACATGCTCCAAATTTTAATAAAACGCTTTATTGAGCACGTAAATGCCATAACTAAACACTTGCTTTAATTAATATATCTCCATCACCGAAAATCAAGCCACATTTATATTCTTTTGACTATGTAAAAGTTTATAACAGTCGTCCCAATCATTACATTGCCAAGGATGCTTCCCATTTGGACATGCTATTAAAAAAATCGATTGGTAATTAGTCTGTGTGTGTGTAAATATATTTGTTCGATATGCCTATATAACAACAATGCTACTTGTTGCCGATCGAAATTTTGGCTTCATGGTGAAGCGATGTAATGTCTCCCATCAAGTCACGTGATCGATTCTGGCACTTCTTGGTTGAAACCAAAACAATGCTACTTGTTAATTATAAGAAGATGGTCCTGTAATTTATAAAGTATCATATCATTTTCAAAAATATTGTGAACTTCGCATTTCTGAATATATATGAAGGTCGGACGCAGATCTATATGTGTATTATAAATTAATTGTTTGCTTTGATAAATTCCAGTTTATTAGACTCATATTTTGATATTGTTTGTCATCCATATCTGAACACAATGCCTACAATGTATGTATG